TAGGCCCTGCCCACCCAATTCTTCCTCACTCTTTCTCCTTTCTTACACTATTATCTCTTATTGGCCACTGGCTATCGTGAGAATAAAGATTTGAAACAATAGAACTGCCGGGTCGCAGCAACAGCTGCTCCAATGCAAGAACAAAAAGTGCCCCCCCCCCCCCCACAACCGGGTCACTGACCCGGCTGACCCGGCTCTGGAGCAAACACTGGACAAGCACAATGCAATACAAATCATGGCAAGGAAACCTGATCCTCCGCCTTCTCCCTCTGACGCACCGTGCGAGCTTGACGATGATGGGCCGGCCAGTTGAAGTAGTTGTGGCTGCGACACGGAGTTTCCTGAGAATGTTCAGAAGTGGAATGGATGGACCAGACAGGCGACATCTGGACTAGGCGTGCAGCGCATCAGATGGAGTCTGCAAGTTACCTTTGAAAAGAAAGCAAAATCAATTTCACTTCTATGAAACTATGGTAGTTCGGCCTACTTAGCGCGTAGCTGTACTGATGAGGCCCTTATGGCCGAAAAAGCTTGCTGTCTACAGCACTGGGTATTATGCTTCTCCACATTCGTCTTGTTGAGCATTCTCGGTAGGCTGCTCTAGTGCTGCTGCATTACAAATTGCCTGTCTCTGAATTTCTCTCTTTTTCTTTCTCTCTCTATCTCTCTCTCTCTTTCTCTCTGTCTCTCTCTGTCTCTCTCTCTCTCTCTCTCTCTCTCTCTCTCTCTCTCTCTCTCTCTCTCTCTCTCTCTCTCTCTCTCTCTCTCTCTCTATCTCTCTCTCTCTCTCTCTCTCTCTCTCTCTCTCTCTCTCTCTCTCTCTTTATCTCATTGCAGATGGCAGCTGTGAAACCGGTTCTCATCAATGCTCATCAAACAGCCGGTGTTTGGTACAAATTCATGAATTGATCTGCCTGTGTGCGCATGGCTTCTCTGGACCAACATGCACAAGTACGTTGCAATCCATCCATGATGTATGCTTGTTGCCATGACAATGTCTAAATGTACGATCCTGACCCCATCCTAATAAGGGCAGTCGCTCATCATACCTGACTAGCAGCATACAGCGTTTCTCACTCATCATACCTGACTAGCAGCATACAGCGTATCTCATAGGATTAATTCCTTCAGTCTGGCTGACATGACGCTTGTCTCTAGGAAGATTGCAATGCAGCATGGTTCAGTGCCACCTTCTGGTGAGTTACCAGAGAAAACCTTTTATTAAATTTTAATCCAGCAAAGGCAGAAGCTTAAATCAAGGGGGTCTCTGAGAATTTTCGTTGTGATACACAATAGTGTATAACGCCCCTTGGCAGACTTCCACTTCATATTGCATCCTGATGATGGCAATTTGCTTAAACGTTGAAAATGATTCTGTGAAATGAAGTGAGTTGTGAATTTGTAGTGCCCAAGGAATGAGCATGTGTGCTCACGAATTCTCTTCGATATGCAATTGGGCACTATTTTAAAAGAAAGAAAAATATTTAAAGGATTGTTTTCTGTTGCCATAGAAATTAATCTGGCAGGAGTTGCCCTGACACTTTCTTTGCCACAGTCCCAGGGTCGCTGTACATGTTCAGTTTGTGCGTTGTCATAGCATATGTGTCCAGGTCTGTAGAATGTACACACACCGCATTCCATGTCTGCTTGCTCTACCCCTATGTTCGGCTGATGACAGTTGGGCAAGCAAGTTTGCTAGTCCTCGTCGGACGCTAGACCTTATGTCAGTTGTACAGATCCCTGGAATCCCGCAGAATCCCGTAGACCCGCTTGGGTGTTCATTGTGTGCTATGCATGT